TTTTTTTTTTACTTCATTGCTGGGAGCAATAGCCAGCCTGCTATTGGATATTTCAGATTGCAATAGCCAATAACAGGCTGGCTACTGCACCCACCCACTGCCTACCCACTGCCTCAATCAGCAGAGGAGGGACCTGATGTTTTCCATCAGGTCCACCTCTGTGGAGCCAGCCTGTGTTTGGCTACTGCAATTTAAAAGAGCCAATAGCGGACTGGCTATTGCTCTCAGCTGCTGGAATGAAGACGATTGTGCGGCTGTCAGCAGGAGAGGAGCGCAGACGCTGCGGAGAGGTGAGTAGACTGCAGGGGGGGGGGGGGGGGGAGCTCACAGACTGTCGGAGGGTTCTCCTTACAGGCTGTAATCGGCAAACAGCATGTAGGGAGAAACCGCTGATAGTCTGTGAGGCTGCAGCGGGGACAACCCCTGTGCCAGCAGATAACTGTGTGATAACCGTCCCGGGCACAGTTTTCTGCCGGGACAAGGGTTCCATTTATCTTGCCTTGCGCTAGCGCCAGGACTGCCGCCACTGTTAGCGGGGGGGCACACGGGGGGCAAGTGATAACCTAGGGGGGCAATTGCCCCCCCTGTAGCGACGCCACTGCTCAGCTGTAGATCCTCCAATCATCTCTGAATTCATGCTGACACTGTCCTGTATATGGGTCTTTGGAATTGAGATATATTTACTATTCCCCGTTTATACTGCATCAGCTAATGTGTGGCTTATATGTGCATCATTTACACCTAGTTCACACCTAGACATTTTTGAGCAGTTGGAAAGGTGCTTTTAAATGCCCAACACAAGAAATCCCATGATTTTCAATGGCCCTTGTTCACACCTGAGCAGAAAAACGCCAGCAGGAAAACGCCAAACGCCCGCAAAGGTACATGAGCTTCTTTGCAGTTAAAAGTATGTTTTTGCCTCATTGACTTCAATGGAAAAGCCCAAAAAACGCGCGGCAGAAGCATGTTGCACATTTCCGTGTGCGTTTTTGCGTGTTTAAATGCAAGTTCATCCATTGCCCGCAATGTTTCATAAGCTGCCAGTTAAAACGCACGTCTTCACGCACGTACAAATGCACATCAAAATGTGCACACCGCGCATAAATGAGCAAATACCCGCACGCTGAAACGATGCCACCTAAGTGTGAACCCCGCCTTAGCTATAGATCCTCAAATCATCTCTGAATTGGTGCTGACACTGTCCTTCCTTCTGGAGGGTGGTTACTTTTGCTTCCCATGGTCCCTGTGTGTGTTGTGAAGTAGCCACCGCTCCAAGTGATGATTTACAATCTCAATACAAATTAGTAAACTAAACATGAGATTGTAGTCCATCACAGAAGCAAGCTTGGAGCGGTGGCTACTTTACAACACACACAGGGACCATAGGGAACAAAAGTAGTCACCCTCCAGAATTAAGGACAGTGACAGCACCAATTCAGATGATTTGAGGATCTACAGCTGAGTGATACACAAATAAGATACAAATGATCTGTTGCAGTATAAAGGGGGAATAATAAATATATCTCAATACCAAAAACCCATATACAATGGTTCTGCACCAAGCCCTCTTAGGTAGTGGCACCTCCCTTTTTGTTCCCCCAATGAAGTTATATGATTATTAGGACCACAATGTGATTTTATGGACAGAATGCCCTTTGCATTATATGTACAGCTGACACTAAAATATACAGTTCTATTATGTTTTGCTGCTAGATTTTTCCAAAGTGTTGATCAGCCAAGGTAAATAGAGGATTAAACACGTCCTCCACCAATTGTTGTGCTTGAGTTGTACCCAACGCGTCTTTCTAAACGTGACCTGTCAGTACTGTATTTTAATAGCAGAAAGGCTTTTAGGTAAATGGGTAATTACCATAATTGTTGGCATGCTCTGCATTCTTTCCTGTAAAGAACCTTTATAGTTTAAAACCGCATCCTAGTCAGATAGAAAAATACCATTAAATCTAGTAAGGTTGTAAAGGAAAAATAATGATATGTAGTCTTACATGGAACTAGCATAAATAACTGAATATCCTAAACCCATGTACAGTAGCATCCATACTGTTAGAGAAACAGAGCCCTATTGCTTTGCATAAAGCTTTAAGTCAACAATTTCAAGGAAAACTGTGACATTGCCCATGCAGGGCAGAGTGACAGCGTTTCTCCAAAGGGAATCCACTGTCCTCATTATACTCGCCTTACTTGGGCTTTCTTGCAGCTCTTTGCTCCTCCTCAACCATTACTGAACTGTTACTGTTGGGGACCTGGGGTTACCCAGTTATCCCACTCCCCAGTGCTTAGTCTTAGGCTGGGTTCACACCTGAGCGTATTTTTTCAGCTAGTTTTTTTAGCACGTTTTTATGTTCAGTGAAACACGCGTTTCAATGGCGGTATGATTTTTTTATTTTTTTAGTTTTTTTCCTTATTTTCTCTATTTTAAAAAATATATATATTTTTTTCACTTTCAAACTTCCCGCCGGCTCCGCCCCACTGCGCAAGGGACGGAACCCGGAAGTCGGCAACCGCCGGAGGACACAGCAGGGATCGCGGACAAGGTAAGACCTGTACGCTGTATTCCCGAGTGTGGCTCGGGGCTACCGCTTTGTTAACCCCGATTCACACTCGGGAATACCAATGGAAACGTGCGCAAAAACGCCCCAAAGAACCTCCTGTACTTCTTTGGGCATAGGGCGTTTTTCAGCGCGTTCCTACGCGCTGAAATACACCCAGGTGGGAACCATGCCCATAGGAAAGTATGGGATTTCACTTGCTGGGCGTTTAACAGCGCGTCGATCAACGCTGTAAAACGCCCAGTTGTGAACCAGGCCTTAGTGATTGGCTGCCAGGCTCAGTCAAATGGCAAGGGAACAGGTCTCATGCTCCTCCATACCCAGAAGTAATGGGTATTCTTGCCTTCTGCACAAGATAAAGGAGCTGCAAGGAAGCACAGGTAAGGGGATGCCCTTTACAGATAAATTGTCACTTTGCCCTGTGTGGGCAAGTTCACAGTGTCCTTTTAAAGAAAGAGTGAGCAAAATAAAGATCTCACTGTCAAGTCACAGAGTGGGAGTAGGTTGGTTACCATTCTACTGTATATAGCCCAAATGAACCTTTAATTAAAATCAGCTAAATTCACTCCAAGTGAATGAAAACACAAGGTTTGCAAAATGTTACAGATGCTTTTTTTTTACAATGTAGCCAAAGCCTGAGTAGAAAAGCCCGTTCCTTATGAGCGTGCTGCTGGGAAAGACCCTTGATCTCTGTTTGGAAGCAGCAGCCTCTCTGCAGTGGTCCAGCACACCTCTGCCAAGTCAGCTGGTGTGCTGGAGCTTTTCCTGATCGCTGTGCAATCAGCAAAACTCTTGCTTTCTGCTGGAGAGCACTATCTTTGATATTGAATAATAAGGTTTTCTGAATCTAGGTCCTCTTTATCGTGAACTATGCAGCGGGTGGTCTTTCTTAGTCGACGGTGTAGTAAAAGTTAACAACCTGGTCAGGTTTATTGTTGTCTGTCTCCCATCTGAGGAGCTTTTCCCTCTCCATTTGTCCTGGTGACCACTGTCACATGGAGTGAAAGTGAAGGAAAGTCCAAAATTGCCAGTTGTCATCAGAACAGAAATAATGAGAAAATCTTCAAATAGGACAAATGTCTAAGAGGGGATTTCCCTAACTTCCCATTGCGTCTACAGGACCAGAAGTGAAGGGGAATCTCTACGATTAGACAAATGTCAAAGAAAAAGGAGTTTTAACCCGTTACTACTGTATCTAAAATTACAAACGTTTTGGCTTTAGATATATGTTAACATGCAAACTATACTTTGTTTTTTTTCTGCAGGATGCAGTCTTCAAATGATGGTCATAAACACCCAAGATCTCAGACCTTGCCCATAATACGAGCCAAAAATGCACTTTCCAATCCCAAGCTCCTACAGATCATAGAGCTCACTACTTCAATATCAAGTAAGTAAATGTACAGTATATATCTTATCATGTTTTTCATGAATCTCTATTCTACATTTTTATCAAAGTGTCAAATTATTGGTAGCTTATGCACATTCAGAATTTGAGCTCCTCCATGGTAATGGATTGGCAGTGATACTAATTCATACACATCATTGTTCCACTAGTGTGTTGTAGATGTCAGTACAGCATGTTAGCCCCGTTCTGGTTTTCACTGAAGGCTGGAAACAATTATCCAAGAACTGTGCATGTCTTATTTCATTTGCTTTAGTTGTGCTTAATTCTCTGTTCTCAGCAATATCAATTTGTTATCTACAGGTAATTCTAATGAAACTGATATTGTGCACCACATTGATTTAGATGCCAATATTGCCACAGAGGTTTGTCTTACTGTTCTTGACCTTTTGTGCCTCTTCAACCAGAGCTACCAGGTAAGCCAACTCCCTCTGCACAGGTTGCCACCAGTGTGATAAATGTTGCATTGACCGCCATACCCATAAAGCACACTGGATATTCTTGATTTGGTGCTAAATGTATTGTGTAACTTTTTTTATTTCCAGAAATTATTGCTTTCTGACAGCCAAAGTGTTTTGATGAAGAAGGTCTTTGACACCCACCTTCTTTTCTTACAAATCAACCAGTCAGTGGTTGCTCTCCGCCATGTGTTTGCTGCTCTGCGGATTTTTGTGTGCGAGGTACTTTTAACTTCTACATTAAGTGCTTAAAGTGGATCTCCAGGCAAACAGCTAAATACACAGTTGAATCACATATATTTATTTAACATATTATATATTTAACATATATTTAACGTTAACTGGCTTACTGGCTGAGAAGATTTGTAATTTTTTTCAGTTGGTCTTTTTCATCAGACCTGCCAGGCAATATAGCCAACTCATCGACCTCACTCTTTGCCACTGCAGTAAAACAGTACAGCCTGATCTTTGGCTCACCCCAATACTGCTGACTGAACTGAAGCATCTCATCAGTAATGAAGTCTTCTGCCAGCAAGCTTCTAGTGTTAGAGTCCTGCTATGCAGCAGAATATGGGAAGCTAATGTAAAGTCAGATTCAGGCAATTGTACAAGCTGTATTAAAAAATACATGTAATGATTGTTTTTTAAAAAAATATTAAATTAATTAAATGCTGGTCTTGTGTCTGGACTTCAGTATCCCCTCTTTTAAAGAAAGCCATTTATAATTGTTAATAAATTACTAGCCACTATTTCTATGGCTGGTGCAAACATAGCTCACTTCTTACCATTTAAGCATGAGTTACGGCAACATTCAGTTGCTAAATTGATGAATGCAGACATATGCAGACGTCTTGTCTCCTGGAATTGTTTGATGGGACAAGATCTTACCTGAGCTAGTTTATATGCAAAGAGGAAAATGCATACACATAGAGAGCATACTGTACACCTAAAGGAATGCGGTTGGTACTCTTTTTTTTCTTATACCAATGCTGAGATTGCTCAGGTGATGATAATAAAGACAGATCCTTCCACTTACCCAAAACATAGTATTTAGTCACCAAAAATTATTTTAAGAATAATAAAAAAATGTAAGAAAGTTTGTTAAAATCCCTGCGATATTATAAAATGTAGAGTTTGATTTTTCTCTCTTCAAAACTGTAGTTCAGTTAACATAATTCTTCTTCCCCTCTAGTTCCCTAATGCATTCTTCCAAGGACAAGCTGACCTTTGCGGCCCTTTCTGCTATGAAGTTCTCAAATGCTGCAATCATCGCTCACGCTCTACCCAGAATGAGGCTTCGGCCCTTCTGTATTTCTTCATGAGGAAGAACTTTGAGTACAACAAACAGAAGTCAATTGTCAGATCACATCTTCAGGTACAGTAGACAAGCAACGTATTGTTATGCTGTGCACTGTTTAGGTTTCTGTTAAAATGTTTGTCACAGAAAGGAGAAGAATCAATTTTTAACTACAACACAATGACTATTTGATACATTTTTGAAGGAACTGTGTTTGACCATTGAGTTTCTACCTTTGGTTTATTCAGATTTATAGTTGGGTGGGACATTAATGTTCAATACTTTGAATATTTCTTTTGGATTACCTCCTCTTATAGGTGAAAACCACCAAGGCCATAAATATTCTATTGATATGGATATGATACTGTTAGTTGTTCAGCAGGGCCCTAATGATATTTGTACCTTTTTTGGGTGTAAGGGGTTATATATTTTTTTTATGTTTCATTTTTGTTTATATGTAAAATGTGATTTTAATTATGATGAGATAATAAAGTGTTTTTGATATACTCTATATTATAATATGTATTAGTATATTCATTTATTTAT